ACATTGATTTCTGGTCTTCATACGTCATCCCGATTCCAAAAATACCCATATTGAAGGATATTTGACATTATTTTCCAGTTTTTCTATAACCGGAAGCCGCCATCTTGGATTTGAAGATGCCGTCAGACATTGATTTCCGGTCTTTATATGTCATTCAGATTCCAAAAACACCCATATTGAAGGGTATTTGCTAGTATTTCCCAGTTTTTCTACAACCAGAAGCCACCATCTTGGATTTCAAGATGGCATCATACATTGATTTCCAGTCTCTATACGTCATCCCGATGCCAAAAATACCCATATTGAAGGATATTTGACATTATTTCCCAGTTTTTATATAACTGGAAGCCGCCATATTGGATTTCAAGATGGCGTCAGACATTGATTTTCGGTTTTTATACGTCATCTCGATAATAAAAATACTCATATTGAAGGATATTTGACATTATTTCCCAGTTTTTATACAACCGGAAGCCGCCATATTGGATTTCAAAATGGCGTCTGACATTGATATCCGGTCTATAAACCTCATCCTGATTCCAAAAATACCCATATTGAAGGGTATTTGCTACCATTTCTCTGTTTTCCTATAACCGGAAGTTGCCATATTGGATTTCAAGATGGTGTCTGACATTGATATCCGGTCTATATACGTCATCCCGATTCCGAAAAGACCCATATTGAAGGGTATTTGCTAGTATTTCCCAGTTTTCCTACAACCGTAAGCCGCCATCTTGGATTTCAAAATGGCGTCAGACATTGATTTCCGGTATTTATACGTCACCCCGATTCCAGAAATACCCATATCGAAGGGTATTTGACAGGATTATCGGTTATCGATTTCCAGACTATAGGCGTCACGCGGACTCCAAAAATACCCATATCGAAGGGTATTTGTCAGACTTCAAAATGATTTCTAGTTCCTTCGCTACCAATATTGTCTATCAAAATATTTGGCAATTGAATTAATAACTGTCGATTGGTACAAATATTTTACTCACCTTTTTGGGAGCACTGCTATTTAATTCTTGCCAATGTTCCGGTATACCCGGTTTTGGTAACATATAATTGAACGCTGCACACGGTTTATATCTCGTGTACCAAAACCAAAATTCTAGCACACCGGTTTTCGGTTTTCAAGCTGCGGTTCTGAACATCAACTCGAAAACAGGCACACGGTTTTGATTTAGAACACACTGGTACACTAAAACTCAACCGAACCAGGGTACACGCTTACATAAACACAGGAGTATTTTTTGAACACGAACCACCCGAAAAAAAATTTACAGTGAAATTTTCAGTGAAAACAATGCTCTAACATTAATATTTATTGTCGACAATAAAAATGATTGTTATAATGTTGTACCCTTCCGAAAACGGCAAAACTGCTACCTAGCTGTACAATGAATGTACATAATAAAATGTTGTTACAATGATTTTTATTGTATTTTTCATTTATTTTAGTGTTAACATGATTCGATCACGAACAATAATGAACAACTCTATTACAATAAAAATTGTTGTTACATTAAATATTGGTGTGTTTTTATTGTGGGTTACTTCACGAACAATAAAAATAAATCTGATTGAAGCATGCAGACTATGAGAGGGTCAGCAACACTGCCAATGTAATCAAGATAGGCGCTGCTCGTATGGCTCCCCTAATAAAAATTGTATGGTTAATTTGCTTAACGACGTGTTCTGGGTATCATCCAAACCATTTGTGGAATAGTTCAATTATTTGGGTTATCGTTCGTTTATGGTTATTTTTTATTAGGGTCTTGCTTTGACAGTTCGTTTGGCTCTATTCGTTGCCAAGTCAATTGAACGCCTATGACCAGATCGGTTTGAGTTGAACTCAACTCTCCTGCCTCATCTAAATCTCGCTTAATGCAGACCTTTTCCGTGCAGTCAATAATCATACAATAATAATTAAAAAATCCACCACTTGAAGATGTCAGGAAATAACTCTCAGGTGGAAGCATATTTCATGGGCGATTCTCTCCAGTTGAATGCATTAACTTATCAACGACGCTCAACCACCAAGAATACGTGACCTAGAGAAATCGAGTGCAGGGGAGTTGACCTCCATTTCTCACAAGTTCCGGATCGAATCTCAATCCATAACCAGTAAAAAAAGGACTCACCCGTAACAGACATATACCACCCCCTTACCTTCCGAAGCGATGTTTTATTTTTTCGATTTATTTTTAAAGTCGATAAAGTAGATCTGTCAAGCCAACACATACACTCTAAAGTACACTGTTATTTTTTTTAATCAATAAATTTGCCAACCAACAGTAAAATAACAATAATATATAATGTTATTGAAAAAAAATTATATGGGGAAATCACGAAAATTTCATTGTTAAGATACTTAACAACCCCCCTTTTTTATTGTAAATTTTCCATTTACCATGAAATTTGCTGTTTTGTACAACATAAATCAAGGTAAAATTATTGTAGACGTAACAATATAAATCATTGTTAAGACAATAATTTTCGTCTTATTGTTACATTGTTTTTTATTGTATTTTTGTTGTTATTTTTTTTCGGGCAGCACACGGTGCGCACCGGTTGGTTCAGTTGCCCATCACTGCTTTCACACACAATAAGCCCCGCATGTAAACACTACCGTTATCATATGAATAATGGTACTGAAAACACACTTCCAGATTTCTTAATGTGCTGTTTCGAAATCTGGCGCGTATTTAGTAATATATGGAAACATGCATTTATGATTGATTATAAATCAGATGGATCTCACCAAATTCTGCCTCCGAAAAAGCACCGGTTTGTTCACTCGCGGTAATCGAAAAAAATTTCCGCGTTGTTTTTACAACTTAACACGATATTTTGAATCACATGCGAAGTTTTTCATTTGCACCGAATTTTTGTCTGACACCTCATTCGCGTGCATCCTCCGGATGGCAGAACGCCAGCACCAAGAAAAGAAAAAAAAACCGCTAAAACTCTTCTTGGGAGGGAGACAAATCACCAAAAACAAGCGAAAAGAAAAACCGATCAACGTGACACAACAGCAACACAGCTACTCGAAACAAATTCTTGTCCCAGATTTTTCACGTTAATTACAATATTACTAAAAAAAACTTCTTAAAACGTGATAGATCTTAATTTACACTTATCCACACGCAAAACTAATATTTTTTTGATTTGGTACAGTTAAAAAAATTAAAGCACTTTAGCCAGCTTGGAACCGGACTCCTCCGGATTTTCCAGGTGTTTGTGCACAATATTTCTTCTTCTTTCGAGTTCCATTCGACGTTATTTCTGAACGTGATCGACTACTTTGATCAAACTTGCACCAGTTGTTCTCTAAAGAAGTGTTCACAAACCACTGTCAAAGATTTTTGATTCCTAGCACTAGAGTCGTACTAACGGCGCGCGAGGGGTGTTCCAATTTATTTATAGTCAGCCTTTATGAACGACTCATTTGAATTTCTTAAGCGTAACTGCTGGTTGTGTAGTGATAAGTGTGATTGCCTCTTGCCACAAAAGACCTAGGTTTAATCCCAGTTGACGCCATTGGAATTGTCGAAAACTCTTATTACGGCTACCGACACCAGGGAGGTAGCTGCCACACCTGGGCCCGACATATCGACCCATCAACTTATGAACATGGGACCAACGGGTTTACTTCCCTTCCGAAGGAAGGCGTGATCTGAAATGTTATGCCTCAGAACATCCCGGCGACGCCGACTGGGATTGAACCCAGGCCTGCTGGGGGTTTTATGGTTAATTTGGAATGACTTTTTCACCTTGGAGCAATAAAAACAAAGACAAGGATTTTTATGCAACAATAGGGATAGGGACGGGATAATTAAAACCATATTTCAAAAATTTCAACCCACCTTTTGCATAACCCAGCACACAATAAAAGTTTCCCTAACGGTACCCTTTGCACTCCAACCCACCCATCGTCACACTGCAGCGAGGAAGAGTTTTTCTCTCCCTATTGTCTAGCTTCACCTCCACCGGCGGCAATTGGCCTCTTAAGGATTTAATTTACGATGCCTGAATTAATCACTCCCTACATTCATAATCCGCTCAAACTGTCTTTTAGGCATAACGGGTTTCTGACTGCCATACCACCCCCGTTAATGAGTAAGTTGGGAACTGAAAGCTTCACTCTCAGACGGAAGAGGATAATCCATGTGTATACCTCTTTAGACCACTAACTTGGAAAAGTACTGGAGATGTTTTACTACTTTTTTTTATTTCCCGGAGATTTTTCATAATGCATACTTTTCACTGCCGATGGATGGTTGACTTTGGACCGTTTCGATGATTTATTCGCTGCCTTATATTGCCAGTCACGAGCATAATTTAATTTGAATTATACGCCCCATCAAGAACGAGTGACGACGGTAATGACGAAGACGTCGGTGGGGAATGAAGTTGGCCGCCTTCATTGTAACCGGTCATATTGCCTTTCGCCAGGGTTCCGCAACTAAGTTTTAAACGACCGACAATTCTGCTTTCATTACATGGCCACGCAATTTATGTGACGGTTAAATTGTATGCAGCACACGGCCAATGAGATCGACTCAAACTTGAGTTTAGCTTGCTCTTAAGTCGCAAAAAGTGCAGGAACTCAGTGATGAGTAAATTTGCCTCATGTTTTCCTGTGGAAAACCTATAAAAAAAATCTGCTGGAAAATGAGGAAAATTGACGAAAATTTTAGTAGTGAATCCAATCTTGACTTTTCTGATATTCGGGAATTTTTTATTTCTGGAAAAACCTGGAAAAACTCAGGAAAATTTACTCAGTGCTGAGTTCCTGCACTTTTTGCGATTTATGAGTAAAATGAACTCAAATTTGGGTCGATCTTATTGGCCGTGCAGTTAGGTTTATATTGAATTGACAGAATTTTCTCGTTCTGCTCTCGAGATCGTAAATTCGATTATTATCATAGCAATTGAGTCAGCAAGTTCAAACATAAAAGTTTATTCGGAGCCGAAAAATGGCAATTACTCACCTGGAGGGCTGCTGGATGCTCTTCTTATCCTTCCGGGTGCTTTCCCTCGAATTGGAGTTCGTTGATAGCGTGGAATCGTTCCGATTGAGTGATAAGGCCTGTTGCACTCCGCACCGCACTAACGACAGCGGTTTCAGCGTCACACTGTTTCGGGGGAAAACCAAAAAAAAAAAAACCATTAGGGTGATTCAAAATATCTATTTGACTCCAGCAAGCTCCTTCGATTCTAAATCAGGTTCTGGTAATTTATACTGACTTTTTAGTTCATTTGGATGTGAATTCATACTGCACTGGCCCTTTGAAGTTTGTATGAGAATTGCTATGGGACAAGTTAAGTTTTTGTTGTCAACGTTCTAGCTATAGTGATATACGAAATAGCTATTAGTAGAAATTCTCAGAGGGAGGGATAGGCGGAGAAAACAAAATACAATTCGGAAGCAGGGATTTTTACCTAAATTTTTAATGGGAATGTTCGATTGGCTCAGATTTTGACAGTTCATTTGGCTTAAAATATTCTCTCCACCCATTCCCTCTGAGTATTTCTAGTTATTAGCTACAACCTTAGCCAGGATGTTTCGCTCTATTCTTCGCACCAAGTACACCAATGTTGCCTGCTACACAATACTGCGTCACCATCAACTTTGATCAGTGTTGGCAAAATTATCAATCAAATGAATGGAACAAAGTACATATCACACTTCAAACTGATTTCCCGCATAAACGCGAACCATAAATTGACCTTACCTAAAATGGTTAAAAATTGTTTATAATGCAACCAATTCGCGATATATTCCACATAAAGTTGATCGATGTTACAAAACCATTCGTGAACCTTACTGACTACCATAACCATTACCATTAATGTTCTCAAACCATAAGTAAAAACGTTCTAATATAGTTCTCTTTCCGAAAATGTATGGAGAAAACAAGAATTTGGAACGGTAATGGTTCTTAACAACCCATTATTTGTAAGGTCCAGTTCCAAAAAACCATAATGCATAAGGTTGAAACTTTATCATTAAACGTTCATGTAAAGTTCCATAACAATTTCAGTTAAAGTTTAGCAGGGATTATAAACAATGTTTAACCATTAGCGGCGCTGGTGGTGTAGTGGTAAGCGTGATTACCTCCCACCCCAGCAGGCCTGGGTTCAATCCCAGTCGGCGCCGCCGGGATGTTCTGAGGCATAACATCCCCGATCACGCCTTCCTTCGGAAGGGAAGTAAACCCGTTGGTCCCTGGTTCATAAGTTGATGGGTCGATAGGTAGGGTCCAGGTGTGGGAGCTGCCTTCCTGGCACGTCGGTAGCATTGGTGCTCAGCACGGAAAACAAGATCGACGGAAAACAAATCAAAGAAAAAAAAAAAAAAATTTTTTTAACCATTTTAGGTAAGGTCAATTTATGGTTCGCGTTTATGCGGGTTGACAAGCCCCTCTGATAAATCAAGCAGAGAGTTGACTCGATACAAACATGATTCCGTTGCGCATCGTTTTCTTAGAAGGAGAAAGTATAGTTTACTATCACTCTTTGTCGGATTTCTCGCATCTCTTCATTTTGTTCGCTGTTTTCGATCCACTTGTCACTACAATAGTCTGAAAACTGATCCTATTTTCTTTTTTTTTACAACGGCTTGCTGAGATCTCAGAAATATTTTTTTTAGTATCTGTTTCGAAATTGAAAAGCATTCTAACCAATTTATTTTCGACTTTTCAAAAGGGATTAAACTTAAATCTCTCACATATTTTTAATTTGCTATAGAATCTACTAGAACTGCACTGGTATTTCTCACTTTATTTTGTTATTTGTTTGCTGATTATTATTATTTATATATTTATTATTATTATTTGTATTTATATTTATATGTAATTATTTATTGATGTATATTTTTATTATTATTTGTATCTAAATATTTCTCTCATGCCTACATATTTCTCCTCCTCTACTCTGTTCCAGCAATTATTAAATATGCAAGATCATTCATTTTTAGCTGAATATTTAAAATACTATTTATAAAATTATTACAACATTAAAAAATATTTTAAAAAAAGTCTACAAACATTCAAATAGCTGGTCACTTCTGAATACGAATAAGGAAAAATTAGTCTACTTCCCGTGCTTGTCTTTACGGAGCTAATAATGTTAATTTATATTAGCGAATTAGTTTCAGTGTATTAGACATAATTCCCATCTTTTTTAGTGACCGTGGTGTAACCGGCCTTTTTACATTGACAACCGGCTTTTGCATAGATCAGTTCACGAAGATTTACCGCACTCTTCGCTCACTTGTAAATTTTAACAGATTTGGGTGGTTTGTTTTGGATCCCATCCATAGCCGTCTCTTTTACTCAGAGACAAAATGATCGGAAGCCAAAAGCGAGGTTAGGGACCGTGCACTGATCTATTGACAACATTGTTGTTGCTCTTCACTCCTAACCGTTGTATTAAGCGTAGCGAACTGAGCTAAGTACTCTTTCACTCTTCTGGGAAGCGCCGATGTTTTTTTTTCTAGCATTCCTTCACACTCAGTCGTCCCAGAAGCCCGTTCCTGCACTGTACCTACAGAATACTGCGTTCTGCTCAAAGTCTCCGTTCAACAATTTGCTTGCAGCCGGTTTCCTGGAAACAACACCTACAATTTAAAATCAATCCAGTCGTATTTTGAGACGCCTGGTGACACTAATCAAAACCCCATTTCAACACCATGGTAGAAAAAAAATTTCTACAGCATCCGATATGGCGAAGCGTCACCAAACCAAACTGCTTTCCAACAACAACCGTCATACCGGATACACTCAATTGGAAAGAATATATAGACCAGCAGAACTATCAAGAAGTCTAATAATACGTATGATTTCCTCATTATACCTTTAGGTAAGTCCCATTTTCAGTTGACCACTCAACTCTTCATCTTTTCTATTTTTTTTCCACAGGAAATTAAAAAAAAATCGTCTTCATTTTGGTATCTTTTACCAGGACAACCAGCACTGTTTTTTAATAGATATATTATATATATATATGTTCAACAATTAGCCTTCGATGTATAAAACGATGATCTACGTGGAAAATAAACTTCATGCAAATCTTTACAATCAGAATTGATTTGGATTTATTTAATGGCTTTTCAATGCTGGTGAGTAATTTAATATTTATTTATTTTATAATATTAACGAAATTTCATGTTACACCACTGACGAAAGTTCAAATTACATCACTGATCATTGCAAACCATGTTTACTGAAAGATATTATACATAAACATGTCCTTATACTTCTCTGGTTTACGAATAGACCGCTTTGGCCTCCCTTTCGTTGGCTCGATAATCACTTCTGGATTGTCATTGGATTGTGATAGCTGCCCGTCCTGGTCTTCAGATGTATCCATCAATTCGGTCACAGGATTAGCATCCTCCTTTTCTTCAGATCTTTAACGTTCCGTGTATATTGAACTCCACGTTCGCTTCTATATGTAATTTGTTTATTTGTTTATTTGTATTCCTCCATCTGACAAGGTTGTCTTAATGAAGTTGGACAGGGAAAAGCCAAATTGAGTCATGGTGAACTCAAATTGGCATAAAAACCCTGTTTCTTGACTAATAACGATCTTAGCTCCATCTCTTGAAAGTACTGTATACCTTTCTTTAGAGAACGCAGGATCCGTGTTGGACTTCTTCATAATGCTCATCACGACGATATCGCCGATAGAAATTTTCGCCCCTCTACGATTGTCCGCATATTTCTGGCTTAGGAGCTTTGTAGTAGCGTCCATCTCCCGTACTTTTGCTCTATCGATAGTTTCATTTGATCTAGAGTCCCAAAGGATGGGAAACGTTCCCCTATATTTCCAACCTACTTTTTTTCTTTTTTTTTTTTGTAAAACAAGTTGGTTTTATTTGTCAGTTTGTTTGATAACAGTAATTATAATTTGTTATTCTAAATCGAGATGAAATTCCAGTGCGTCTACAACAATTATTTCGTTACATTCACAAACAAAGCAGATGTATTTAATAAAAACACTAAGCACTTCCGTGCGCCTTCTTCTGTCTACTCCTACTAGGGCAGGTCTCACCAAGTCTTCAAAAGAGAGTCGTCTCCATCCATTCATTATGGCTTCTATCCTCTGCTGTAGAACCGTCCAAGCCGGGCCGACACGAGCACAAGCACAAAATTTATGCAGAAGAGTTTCAGTCGTGTGATTGCCACAATGTGTGCAGTTTTCGTCCGGTACCGAGATGGGAAATGACAGGTGGGCATGAACTCACGGTCTCCCAGTGTTGGTGAGTTCTTTGCCGTTAATGTTCACGAAAAGTTCACTATTTTTCCATACAGAAATTCAAAACAAAAAATTTTATCTGCGGATTTGGACAGTTTTTGACCTGTTTCATACGACCGGAAGGTGTATGCTGGTTACAAATGCCGTGCCAAACTGATTTCCTACGCAATTAATCAATCTTTGATGTGAATTTCGCTAATAAACACGAAGAGCATTTCTTATAGCAAACTTGCCATAACAAAATGGACATGGTTCATTTTAGCAAACAAACTAACACTTCTTCCGACTGTGTCACCTCTCTTACTCGCCTAGGTGCTGTACCTCCATCCTCTTGTGTGTAGACTTGATCAAGCGTGTGGAAACGATCTGCTGGTAGCGTATGCGGATCACATCAGCGTTATCGTTACATCGGCTGAGCAAATCGAAGTGATGAATGGACTGTTCACCCGTTTTGAGATTGACGCCGGCGCAAAATTAAACTTCCAAAAAACTGTTGCCATCAACGTAGGTTTCTGCGAAGGAAACGAAACCAACACTCACTGGCTTCAAACAGCCAATGTTGTCAAAATCTTGGGTGTTGTTTTCGCAAACTCTATACGGTTAATGACAACGACAAACTGGAATGCGCTCGTGGGGAAGTTCGCGCATCAAATGTGGCTGCAGACGTTTTTTTTTTCGATTGCGCTTTTTACAAGTGAAGCATTTACGGTTGGATATTTGTCTACTTCGGTGTGCCGCGTCGCGTGGTAAAGTGTTCCGCGATGAGGCGAGAAAACACTTTTAAAATCGATTATTCGAACTTCACCATCAAGCCATCGGTCGAAAAACTTTATGGATTTTGTCGGTCGGTTCTCGGTTTGAAAAGGGAAGATATCAAACGACTACAGTGCCGAGATGGGAAATGACAGGTGGGCATGAACTCACGGTCTCCCAGTGTTGGTGAGTTCTTTTCCGTTAATGTTCACGAAAAGTTTACTATTTTGCCATACAGAAATTCAAAACAAAAATTTTTATCTGTGGATTTGGACAGTTTTTGACCTATTTCATACGACCGGAAGGTGTATGCTGGTCACAAATGCCGTACCAAACTGATTTCCTACGCAATTAATCAATCTTTGATGTGAATTTCGCTAATAAACACGAGAAGCATATCTTATAGCAAAACTTGCCATAACAAAATGGGTGGTTTATTTTGGTAAACAAACTAACACTTCTTCCGACTGTGTCACCTCTATTACTCGCCTAGGGTGTAACGCATGCCAAGTTGCTTTTCCACCGACATCTCTTCTTGGCGGCTTCACATTCACGGTGCGTTAGTCCGCCAATTTTGATCACATTCAATGCAGTATGAGATCGCATCCAAAAGATCTAAAATTTTGGGAGAACTATCAGGAGCTGATTTTTAATCGATTGAGCTGGCAGGGAGCTATTGCGAATAAATAATAATAATCAAATTCTGTACCAACCTCGCTTCCTTCCGCGGCGAACCGTTCCTACTGCTAAGCGTAGCGTTTTTATTTACAATGACGGTGGCGGCCACGTTCGGACTGCCGGGTGGGGTCGCATTCGCTGCCAGCACGTCACCTATGCTGGAGGGCGCGTAGCCCGAGTCGTGATTGCCGTTCGGATCGGAGGGAATCTGCGTTGTCGTTATCTGGGCCATCACGCTGCGTGGGAGGGGGTTACACCGTCAAGAAGAAGAAGAAGAACAACAAAGAGAAAATCAATTCAGTTAGTGGAGCAAACGTGGCGTCTGGCTGGCGTTACGTTTGGATAGATTCCAGATAAAAAAAGAGCGCTATACAGATCAAGCATCGAGCAGGCGGTATTGTGAAAAAGCCACACTAACAAACGAGCAACAATTGGTTAAGGCTGTTCAGAGGGACAGTCGGTAGTAGGAGGATTAGAAGCAATGGAATGATTGGTAGAGCCAGGGGGAGACGAAATCAATTTTTAAATTTTATATACAGAAAAAAAATAAGCAAGATGATTAGAAATTGGTTCATTACTTAAATGCGAGTGCTTGGATGATGTATTGAATTGTTATTTTTTCTAAGGACTAAACCAACTCCAATACAATGCATAATGTTTTAGCTGATATGAATTCTAGTTGATTCGTGGTTCGTACCACAGTCAAACGATGTAAATTTTCAAATATGAATTTTATGCTGTGTTTAATTAATTAAGATGTTCAAAAATCCCTCTGTTGTTGATCAGTCGAATTGCGAGAAGGTGTCATTCAAAATAGCAGTTGGCAAATTTTCACTTAAATTTGACACTTCGAAAATAGATTATAATATTCGAAAATCCCTCTATTGCTGACCGTTCTATTTTCGAAAAGGTGTTTGTCAAAATTGGTCCCTGTCAGAAATAAGTCTGGAAAAATAGCAGGTTCATTTGAAAATTTTCCGTCTGTGAAATTTAACTGAAAATTGGCTGTAAAACATACAGCGCTCAGAGGACAACCAATTATCGATAGGATGACTTGCAAATGCTTTAGATTAGATTTAAAATTCCATGGTTCACATTTCCATAAACTTCTACCACCACGAAAAGAAAATGTAGTAAAATTCTTCTTTATTTTTGATTTGTTATGTGGCTTACATTTGCTAATACAGGGCAAGAGGTTAGCCAGAAGGGCTCTTCATCTTTGGTGAACTTTTTGATTTTGTGTTGTACATGTTGTGTTTTACTGTGTAATGTTTTTCAATTTTCTTATTATGAAGTATGTTGTTTGAACGTTTTAATTTGTTATTCTACCTACTTAACCTAATTTAACCTAACGTGCCAGATCCCTGACGATCTGTTGGTCGGATCGCCTACAGCAATCTCTAAACCTTGCGATGGAGGCAGCTCTCCGTAACTCCAGTGTCTGAAGACCAGCCAGGCGGTGATCCTCAGAGTTTCTAGTCCGCGGTGGACTGTTGAGGATCATTCTCAGAATCTTGTTCTGGATCCTTTGAAGTTTAAGATGATGGCTTTTTGCGCAACTCTCCCAGATTGGCATCCCGTATTCTATTACGGGAAGGATGATTTGTTTGTAGACAGCAAGCTTATTTTTCAGGGACAGGGATCTTATCAACGATCTTATCAAGATGTTGCACTTGGTTTTGGTTTTGTCAACGTGCTCCCTAAAAAGAAGCTTGCTGTCTAATGTTAGCCCGAGGTACACGACCTCTTTGGACCATTCCACCACTGAGCCGTTTAAGCAGATCTTATTATTTTCAGACGGAACAAGTCTGGGAGATTTTGAGTGTGGAAAGATGATGACCTGGGTCTTTGCCGCGTTGATACGGATCTTCCAGCTGTTGAAATATTCAGACAGGACGTCCAGGCCTCTCTGAAGTTTGGCAGTCAGAGCTCCGATGACCCTACCCTTGTAGACGATGGATGTGTCATCTGCGAACAGAGACAACGATCCACCATCAGGGAGAGCCGGCATATCGGAGGTGAACAGGTTGAATAGAATGGGGCCAAGGATGCTTCCTTGTGGAACTCCGGCACCGATGTTGAAAGCATCCGATGTGATGCTATTCAGAGATACTCGGAACTTCCTGTCCGATAGATAGTTGTTTATTATCTTCACTAGGAAGATTGGAAGACCGTACTGCTGCAATTTGAACACCAGGCCATCATGCAAGACATTGTCGAACGCTTTTTCAACGTCCAACAACGCCATGGCAGATGTTTTCGAAACAGACTTGTTCCGTCTCAGAATGTTTGTCACTCGAGTCAGCTGGTGGACGGTCGAACGACCTTTCCGAAAACCAAACTGTTTCTCGAGTAAGATGTTGTTTTGTTCGGCAGATGTTAGGAGCCGGTGGTAGACTGCTCTTTCAAACAGTTTTGATAACCCTGAGAGAAGGCTGATTGGTCGATAACTTGAAGGTGAGGACGGATCCTTCCCAGGTTTCCGGATGGGTATGACTTTAGCTGACTTCCGACACGAAGGGAAGTAGCCAAGTCTGAGACACTGATTAAAAATCAGTGCCAGATGATTGTAGAATCTGGAACTCAAGTGTTTGAGTTCCAGATTCAGGATGTTGTCGAAACCAGGGGCCTTCATGTTTTTAGATGATTTGATATAGGCCAATAGTTCGTCAGCCGTAATCTCGGATTCCTCTGAAAAAATGTTAGGAATCTGATCAAGATTGGTTGCATTTTCAGCAACCTCAGATTCATGAGGGCTGACGATGTTTTGTCCGAGATTATGGGAGCTGACGAAATGTTGAGCTATCGCGGCAGCCTTCTCTTCAGGAGTTATCAGATGAACCACTGGGTCGCTGGGACGATCCAGTGGGGTCAGTGGTGGAATGGGCCTAGGCTTGTTTTTAAGAATTTTCGTTAGTTTCCAGAAGGGCTTTGCACAATCTGGGAGAGAGCGGATTTTGTTAGCAAAATCTTGATTTCCCGAGTAGCACACTTTCATCACAATAAGTTGCAGCAACTTGTTTATGACTAAAATATGTCGTATATAAGTTTCTACAATTGATTTGTAACAAGCGTGCTACTAGGGTTCTGAGGTACACCATTCTGGCTTGGATGGTTTTTGTAAGTCGATTGCAATGGGTCTTCAAGACACGTAAACCAGAACGCTGGTATTGCCTTCGGGTGGAGTTACGGAGTCTGATGAGATCTTTGGTAATTCTATCAAGGTTCAGTGTATTGCTCACCTGTCTGGATACTGGCACGTGTTGGTCCCTGGTCCAGGATATCGCCTCATCGATGGAACGCAGACACCGGTCAACGTCTGCGGGCGTCTCCGGAAGGACACCGTAGTCGACAGTGGAGTCGACACAGTGTTGGAACTGCTCCCAGCTGACACCATGGTAGTTGCGTCGAGAAGCTTGGAATCGGTTGACAGATGAGCCTACTTCTGCCACCACCGGATAGTGGTCCGAACTCAGCTCCTGATGGGTCACAGGTAGCGAGATGTTGTCTCCCATGTTGCTGATGAGTATGTCAATGGTGGAGTGAACGCCAGACCGGCTCAACCGGGTGGAAGAGTCCGGCGCTAATATGGTGTAGCGAGCCTCTTGCAGGTCCTCGTTGAGGATGGTGCCGTTTTGGTTGCGTCGACTATTGCCCCAAGCCTGGTGTTTGGCGTTCAGGTCGCCAGCAATGATGTACTTTTCGCGCCGTCGAGTTAGTTTGATGATGTCCCTCCGCAGGTCTGCTGCCGACCCGTTCCTGATGGTGATTTGCTTGGGGCAGTACGTCGCAATGATGGTGATAGGGCCGACAGGAGTGGAGACTTCTACCCCTAAAGCTTCGATGGTTTTCAACTGGAAGCTCGGCAGAAGCCGACAGCAGATGTTTCTGTTTACCTCCGGTTTCAGGTGGGTTTCGGTGATAACGGCAATGTCGATGTTTTGTTTGTTGAGGAAGTCAACGAGCTCGATGATCTTGCTCTTGAGCGAGCAAGCGTTCCAGTTGGCGATCTTGATGGTCTCACGGTCCATAATTGTCGATGAAACGTGATGCAGCAAGAATCTGCTCGGTTCTGGTTCTGCAGGAGCGCTTGATAATGATTGCTTCTGCCATGATGGTAATAAGTTCCTCAGTTGTGAGTAGCTCTTCGTTTTCATGCGATGGTGGGGCATCATCTCGACGCCACGATAGACCCGGGGAAGGGGACGAAACCGTTGCCGCATAGGACTGATGGTTGGCGGGACCGATGCAGCAGCAGCAGCCAAACGGTTGTTGAGCGGTAGTGGCGGAAGAATCGGAATCGGACGCCGTTGGCTAATGGCGGGGAAATTCTGCTCATTGCGTGCCGGTATCTTTTTCCGACCCGGCTGGTTCTCCATGAATTCCGCACGCTTCGGACAAGACTTGGTGGTATCTCGATGTGCTGCACCACAGTTGGCGCATTATGGATCGGCATACGCATTCTCCATGCTCTCGCATTCTTCGGGTTCGTGTTGTTTGCCACATTCGTTGCAGCGATGAGCCATGTGGCAATTTTTGGTCCCATGCCCAAACATGAGGCAGTTTGAGCATTGGGTGACGTTACGGGGGCGAGGTTGGTAGCGTTCCCACTTAACCACGATGTGGAAAAGCGCCCGAATACACTGCAGGTCCTTCAAACACGTTGTGTTTCGCTCGAGGTGGACCAAATACAGCTGGTCACGGTGCTTGAGGAAGGCGTCGTGCCGATTCATCCTGAAGACTTGCGATGGCCTTAGGCCGTTCTTCTTCAGCTCATCCGACAGCGCGTCGATTTCCATATCGGGCAGACCACGCACGACCACCTTGAGCGGCTTGTCCTCCTCGATGTCGTGAGAGAAATACTCTCATTTTTCTGCTTCAGCAGCACTTCAACGGCCTTGTAGTCCTTCCTTGCTGGTACCATCAGCTTGATGCCTTCAGAGCACAGGCGCATGGTGCACTTCAAGAAGCCTTTCTCGATGTAGTACTCGATGTTTTCCCGAAGTCCAGGCGGGAATCCCTTGACAAAAAAGGGTGGTAATTTCTCCTTCTTCTTTATTTCCGGTTCATCACCATTTTCCAGAATGGCGTACCGGTTGTTGGACAGCAGCTTTTTCGAGGCCGACTGAGCGTTGGCGATTTCCTGACGGGAACGCTTCCCGGACGCGCTTGCAACCGCATCACCACGCGGTGGTTTTCCCATACTGGGATCGAACGATGTTTCACTTATCACCGC